CAGCAAAATTGGCACCATCCAAAGATAGAGGCAGCAGAACAGTATCCTTCAAGAATGCACATAGGAATGCTAAGAACTAGGGCTTCTTGGCTTCACTGCAGTTGTTGTTAAATGTTGGAAGTGCAATACTGCAGAACATTAAGGAGACACAGAGTCTCTGAGGAGGGCATTTATGAATTCTGCAGCTGGGTTACTTTGTGACTGACCCTGTTGACTTAGAAGACCTGGGTATTTATCCCTTGGTGTCCTTGGGTTTCTTTCAGAAGATTGTGTGGCTTGGCAGGAAGAGCTGTGGGAGTTGGGTGGTAACACAGTGTGGAGCTGGAGGAACACAGCAGGCCAGACAGCATCAGAGGAGCAGGAAAGCTGACGTTTTGGGTCAGGACCCTTGTCTGGGTATTGAATATATTCAAGGCTGAAATTTTCTGAATTTCTGAAGAAGGGTCCCGACCCGAAACATCAGCTTTCCTGCTCCTCTGATGCTGCCTGGCCTACTGTGTTCCTCTGGCTCCACACTGTGTTATCTCAGACTCCAGCATCGGCAGTTCTTACTGTCTCGGAGTGGGGTGGTGATGTGAGGTGAACTGAAAGTGACAATTTAGTTGGTTGGTGGACATATTCAATAACTCTGGTGGCTATAAGTATAGAATCATTTCTTTGTTCAAGCTGAGTTTTTACTTGGCTCATTGCAATCTAAGAAGTTGATTTTTATTCTGTGGGAGAAACCTCCACCTAGTGGCACATTAAGAGCTATTGCGATTCTAATGTATTTCCAAGTTACTTGCTAATGTAAATGCTGGATCATATCCCAATATGATTTGTCATAAGCTTATTCCTTGTCTCCTACCCCTTTATGAGGTGATCCCTCTGTGAGTGCCAAGGGGATGGTATAGTGTATTAGCGAAGCACTGAACCCCCTTGTCTATAATACAGCTAATGTAGAGCAGCATGGCAGGCAGCACATTACTTTGTGCTCTGTCACAAACATACCACTGGTATCCTAAGCATGTCTCATTGGTAAAGATTTATTCTCCCCAGTTCTCCAGTTCAAAAATCATCACAAGGCTGTGGTTTCCCACAAAGAATGCTAATAGTGGGTACTGCGAGGCTTAATGGTTTTTAGTGGCAGCAAAATATGAATAAAATCTAATCACTGAATATGCATGCAAACATATTAAAGGCTGTGCTATGCTGTTTTGTTCCATAGTTCATTGTATAATTTAGCACACTACCTTCTATCTTGTGCAGGACTAAGTATTAGTGCCTTGTAAATACAAATGTAGTCAATCATGAAGCAGATTCAATTGTTCCTTTTCAGATGAAATACAACAGCCAGTCTTTTTTTATTTGTTGAAACTTTTCTACACAAATGTTTTTAAATACAACACAGTTCTAATGCTTTGAATGTATAAAAATTAAAAAAAAATTAAAGTAAATGTATATTTATGTTGCTTAGGGCATGCAGTATCACAGGGCACGATTCATGGGCACCAACCCTTGACCATGGGCATTGGTACTTAGCCTTTACTCCCTCTCAGGCACTTTGTCAAGTTTTAATTGACCAAGTGGCTCAGGATACCTAGCGAGAAGTGACAACATATATTATTGTCAAATGCACTATTCAGCCATCTTTAGCTGCAATGCTGCAAAATATTTAATGATCTCGCACATTGCATTGGACAGGAAACTACATCATAACTCCACATTAACAGTGCATTACTTCATATGAGTAATATATATTTCATCAGAATAGTATGTAGTTAATTTTCATTTACATAGTCATGGAATATTTTAAATGTTTCAACAAAAAGCCATACATGACTGAAATAACTCCAGGGAGACAAGTATCCTGTCACCAAGTCACCCTTTGTTTGCATGTGCACAGTACATGGGCTCTGAGCAATCAGCTCAGTGCTCGACCCTAGAAAGAAGGGTCTCTCTGAATCTCCAGTTTCTATCTGTCAGCCAGGGCTCCCTGGTTGGCCCAGATTAACAACCCCAATCAAGGACCTCATAGTCAATTAGATCCACCTGGTCTTTGTTCCAAATTACAAGTGCATTTGTAACAGTTTCCTCTGAACTAGCTATTCCTTCCTTCATGTTTTCAATGATTAATCACTGATAAACTTTTCCACCTACTGTACCTATACTAGGGACTTGCACACCCTTTACATGTATTTTTATATGTTTTGTCATTATAGGAGAATACTCTGAAAATATAGTGCTAGAGGTCCAAAACAGAGAAGAAGTAAGTCTCCCACTTAAGTTTGGTATCGAACGACTCCAGTTCTTTTCTTTTTATCCTATTTATATTTTCCCTTACTGGGAAGGCTGGATATTAAATATATTCAAGGCTGAAATTTTCAGATATTTGCTGTACTGGAGTTATGGGAGGCAGGCAGGAAAGTGGAGCTAAGCCCACCACAGATCAGCCGTGCTCTTATTTCATGGCTGTGTAGGTTCAATGGGCCGAATGGCCTATTCATGCTCCTATTTCTTTTGGAACAAAACAATACACTGATGTCAGAGATTTCCCTTTTCTCAATATCAGTTTGAATCTGGATATAGATATCCAGTATTTAGATATCAACAAACACAGATTAATAGCTAATTATATTTATGTATATTCTCCTTAAAAAGCATCTTCTAAACCCACAACAACAAAACCATATCTCCGAAACCATCTAGAAGGGCAAGGACAGCAAATACTTGGGAAGACCACCACCTACAAGTTCCCATCCAGGCTGCTTACCATCCTGACTTAGAAATATATCACTGTTCCTTCGGCATCACTGAGTCAAAATGCTGGAACACCCTTCCTAATGGCATTATGAGTCAACCTACAGCAAATGGATTGCTGTGATTCAAGAAGACAGGTCACCACCAACTTCTCAAGTGCAAGCTGGCTAGGCAATAAATGCTGGCCCAGCCAGTGATGCGCACATCCCATTCGTCAATAAAAAACAAAAGCAAGTGAAGAAATAACTAGCCTTGATTTTTTTCACTATAACTCAAAATAACTCATTGGAAGATGCACGTGGAATTAAGATAGAAGCTGATATATTATAAAGGTTTTAAAAAGTACTTTTCAAATGTGCATTTTTTTAATAATAATGGTGAAATATGACATTACAATGGAAAATTTTTTCAGGACCAGTCACATGCTCAGCATTTATCAACTTGCAGGTATACCTCAAATAGAAAAGTTTAGGCTTTGTAAGGGTTTTACAGCAAGACTAATAAAGTAAACGTGGAAGTTCTTGCCAGCTCAATAATTTCTATTTGATTTTAGTCCAGAGCTGAGATAAGTGAAGGTGTGGTGATCCATGGTGAAATGATTAAGATCAGGGATGATAGAAGGCTAGAATTAGTCCAGATTAGATATTTCAGAGAATTGAGCTGTTGGAGGAGAGTACAGCAACAAAGGAGGGCCAAGCATATGGAAATTATTTAAAATGTCAAAATCAAAATGCTGCCTGATCAGGAGCCAATGTAGGTCAACAAGCATCGAGGTGATAAGTTGAACATAACCTTCTTGTCAGACTTCAAGAACAAATACAAAAAGCAAGGTGCATTTTACAGACTTCTGCCAAGTAATCAAGTCAGTATGGGAGAGGAAATGTGCAGTTGCAAGTCCCAAGCTTGTCCAGAACATTGTCTACATAAAAATGGCTTTCAAGATTTTTGAATTTAAATTTTTGTTGATGTGATCTATTTGAAAATACTGTGGAAGCCCTTGCACAGGTGCCTTCTGTCCTTTTGGGCTGGGAGTTCCATGTAAGCACTTAACAGTAAGAGCCTGCAGTGTGATTAGCTGAGAATAAGGCACTGAATTGCATGCAGACACAGTTGATGCTGCTGGCATTTCCCTTCATGAGACATGATCATTGGAAATAGTATTTAGCACATTTCCAGTCTGTCTGCTACAGATTGGCTGAGACGTCAAGGACATGAAGCCAATAAGCCCAGATCATCATTAGGCAGATGATGTATTAACAGAACACTCCAGCTCTTTAAACTCATGAGCATAAAAGATTTTGTGGTTCTACTTGTTGAAGGGAAGTGAGCTTTCCTGTTATCTGGCCATTGTTTCTTCAACCAAGATCATAAAAATACAACCATTGGTTATTCTTCTCACTTGCTATTTTTGGAAACTTCCCAAATGCCAACTGGCTGCTAGAACAAGTGGTGTTTGTGAAAAAGCAACTAAACTTGCAAATTAAGCAATTTAGGATGTCCTAAGGACATGATAAAACACATTGCAGATGATGAGACTTCTTTCCTCTCCCTTCAAAGGTCATTTATTCCCTTTATAGTTCCTACAATAAGGTGTCGCTTCATGGTTGAGCAGCTAACAGGAGCTCTCTTATCAATTTCCCAGCTTATACATCCGTAACTTCGATCGCCACAAATTCTCAAACAATTTCAAAATGACAGGTGCTTTGTAAAATTTGTCTCCTCAAGCACAGAGACAAGACAATCACTATTCATAACAACTGCATTTTGTGATTTGTAATAACATAAGGAACTGCATTGTTCAGTGTATGAAGATAGAGGAACAATAGCACATTATCACAGCTATATTAGTGGCAGAAAACATTATTTTTAAATCTCTGAGAGATAATACAAAAATATATGAACAAAAAACAGAAGATTACAATTACCTGAAGGAAACTTAAGAAAAAAATTCAACTTTCTGATGAACATTTTTGAAGAAACTTAACATTAATAATTTTCTCTGACCTTGGTTTGAGGGTAAAAAAATGTTGAACATATTATAAGCACTGGATTTGTGGGGGGAAATGGTAATGCTGGAGGGAAGGGTAAACATTTTCTTTTGTTTCTTGTCAATACTTTACCTAGCTGTAGTCTGTAGATCTTTGATAATATGTAGATTAGCACCAAAAACAGCACTGTCTCTAATTGAAGTAGGTTCTCATTAAACTAACTATTTTAACCAAAAGCAGGACCAAAATAAGCTGTACAGAAAGCACTCCTACCTTTTTGAACCTGAAACAAGAGGAAAATCAGGAAGGCAGAGACTTTTAAATTTGCCATTTTTCTGTTGCTTTTATGCAGAAAGCAGGACTGAAATGTATTTTCCCAATCTTGGTCTGGCTTGGAAGTGGAAAAGGTGTATAAGGGCATGGATCTGTACTGATTATTTATGGTGTTTCCTTTAAAAGAATAGGAGGAAGTAGCATGAGATCACATGGGAATGAACACCATAGACTGTTTGCTTTTCTAATGCTCTATTCTGATTCAGAGGGTGTGAGAATCCGCATTTAAAAATTCACAAATATTGGCACCAAATGTATTTTAGTCGAAGCCCAGCTCCTAAGACCTTTTCCTTTAATTATCAATTTATAAAAGCATGTAAAGAAAATATCAATTCCAATTATTAAATTTATTTTTTTTAAAAATCTATTCTACAACAGAATACACATTATTGCAAAAGAGCCAATTCTTAAATATGTACAATAGAGTTCCATAAGTTATAAATGACTTAGGTTTCCATACCTTGTTGGACATTACTGCTTTCCTCTTTTTTTATCCTTTTGCTGAAAACTCTTCTATTCCAAGACACTGTCTGATGGTTCTTTACAACTTTTCAGGACTTGTCCTTGTCAGTATCTGCCTTTTTATGCTCACTTTATTTCTGTTTCCCATTGTATCGTGTTCAGATCAAAACTCAGCCACACATTCAGCTATATTGCATTTTACAGCAGTCTTAGTGGACAATTAAGCAAAGAGATGTAGATAGGTTTGTGAGTAGCCAACATTTGGCAGATGGAGTATAATGTGGGAAAATGTGAACTTGTTCACTTGGGCAGGAAGAACAGAAAAGCACTTTACTATTTAAATAGAGAGAGATTGCAGGTAGAAAGGGGTCTAGGTGTCCTTCTATATGAATCATAAGAAGTTAGCTTGCTGGTACAGTAATTTATCAGGAAGACAAATGGAATGTTGGCGTATGCTGCAAGGGGAATGGAATGTAAGAGAAGGGAAATGGCTCAGCAGCTGGACAAGGCTGTGGTGAGACCACACCTGGAGCTCTTTGGATAATTTTGGTTTCCCTGTTGAAAAAAGATATAAGTGCATTGCATGAAGTTCACAACCCATTCACTTAACTCGTTCTTTGGATGAAGAGCTTATCTTATGACGGAAGGTTGAACTGGTTGAGCTTTTACCCATTGGAGTTTATAAGAAAGAGAGGTGATTTTACAGAAACTTGTAAGATCCTGGGGGGTCTAGACAGGGTGGAAAGGATGTTTTTGAAAGGATGTTTCCCCTGTAGGATAAATTAGAACTAGGGAACACAGTTTACAAATAAGAGGTTTCGCTTTTAAGATTAATATGAGGAGAATACTTTTTCCCCTGGAAAGTTGTTTATATGTATATTTCTATTCCACCAGAAAATAGTAGATGTTGGATCCTTAAATTTATTCAAAGCTAAGTTATAGATTTTTGATAGACATGGGAGTTAAGGGTAATAGAGTGCACACAATAAAGTCGAGTTGAGCCCATAACCAGGTGAGCTGTGGAGTTACTGAATGCCAGAACAGGCTCAATGGGATAATACTCCTTCCCCTTCAGTCCTAAGTTCCTATGCTTCAGTATCACAAAAAAATGTAAATTTTAATTAGATTATTGTTCCAAAATTCACATAACAGTATGAATCTTACTTTCTTTTTGCCTAAGTCCAAGTTGTATTGCATTCTTGCTGTGAGGCCTACTAAGTTTCAGCACCTTAGCTTACCAAACTTGCCTTATTAATGGCCTATCATACCTCTATGCCATCTCTCACGTCCGTCCCATCCTACCACATGCCAGTCTTGATGCAACACGCCACTCGGTGGATATCTGGAATTTACTAGCATCCCTTGCACTCACGCCATCTTTAAAAGCTGGTAATGCACCTGAACACACATTATCAGTCCAAAACTGTGTTGCATGATTACAGGCAATTAGCTTGGGCATGATAGACAAGGGGTTTTTTGATGCCCTGCTCTGCACCAGGGTCCTGGAGGCCCTGCTGGAAGGTGGTGAGTGGAGGGCTGTTATCAAAGGATTTCCTCCGCCCAGGACAGGCAGTAGGCCATGCCATCCTGGCCTGATGATGCCACCCATATTATGACACTCTCACTATCTGGAGGAATGTTGAACAATGTAGGAAGCAGGTCAATGTCCTTCTCCACTCTGCCACTGTAAGTAGCACCGTCTTCTCTCCAATTTGTTTCATCCCCTCAGTCTTTGCTAGTGCTCCATCACTGTCATTATTGCCTGCAACAATTTCCTTACTCACTCTCACCCACCTCAACTACCAACACCATTCACCTTGCATTCTTTCTGTGCTGCCTACCTACTTGCTTATGACACTGCCTAATGTGCACCAACATTAACAGTGATATCACCCACTTTCATTCCATGACAAAAGCAATTTTCAATAATGCAGAAAAAAATCAGGACAGGTGATTGCTGTCATCATTCAGCTTCTCATTCTTTATGAGGAGAGGACCCTGACTCTGTTTTGACTTGACTGAGGTTTGCTGACAGCATTGACAAGCCTACCATCTTGTCTGCACTAAGCAGTGTGGAAACAGAGATATAATACGAGAATAGTATCTCTGGTTGTGGGGTGAAGAGTAAAAAAAAACATGGCATGGCAGAGATGCTGTGAGCCTTCATGTAGGATCCAAGTAAATGAACACAATAACAACCAGCAAATAACTCATAGGTACAGCATGGTCTAGTCCATGAGCTGGATGTGCACCTCTGAGCAGACAGTATCCTTGTAGCAGCATTACAATAATAGTTGCTAGTTCAGTTTGGAAGTGTAGTAGTGACCTGCAAGTGAATTGAAGATATGCCATGAAAATTCTTACAGGCTGGTGCATATCAGGCGCCAATGTCCATGGAACAAAAACAAGTTCCTGGAAAAGCTCAGCTAGTCTGGCAGCATCTGTGAAGGAAAAAACAGAGTTCATGTTTCAGGTCCAGTGACCCTTCCTCAGAACAGCTAATGTCCATGGACATGGGACAAATGTGACCAAGGCCCATGGAAAGTGCCCCGAGATGTTAGTGCCCGGTTTTCAACATGGAGATCATCTGAAGCCAGCAGTGAGCTGAATCCACGAGGTTCTCGCTCTGGTTTTCTTGTTTTCCCGATGTGCAGCTTGAATGGCAAGTTTGAAAAGTTGAGAGTCGGACTATTAATGAGGCAACAAAAACAAAGTTGCTGGAAAAGCTCAGCAGGTCTGGCAGCATCTGTGAAGTAAAAAACAGAGTTAACATTTTGGGTCCAGTGATCCTTCCTCAGAACTGGGGAGTTCCTGGGAGAGGAAGGGTCATCAGACCCGAAATGTTAACTCTGGTTTTTCCTTCGCAGATGCTGCTAGACCTGCTGAGCTTTTCCAGCAACTTTGTTTTAGTTCCTGATTTATAGCACCCACAGTTCTTTCAGTTTTTATTTTTGAGGCAAGTTGCAGTGTTAACAATTATCAAAAGATTTATCATTGACTGTAAATTGACATCTCGCTGCTGCTTAACAGGAATCTTGCCACTCGGCTTGTGAAAAACATAAAAGATAGAGTGAGATGACTTTAACATAGAGATGGGCTTTGCCAGACCTGTCACGTGATGCTACCACACATTTCAACTTAAGCATGTCATAAAGACCCCCCGATATAAATCTGCCCAGTGATGTCAAGATGGACTGACTTGAGGACAACAGGGGTAAATTATCTATATAGGATGTGACAAGATACTTTGTAAAATATGTGGCATGTTTTAAGTTGTTATATTTTAAATGTAGAAACAATAAGACGGTGACGAGTTCGTGTTTTTCCCTTGGGTTGGAAGGTGTTGTGAAAATATTCTATTTCATGTTTCATATGCTTTAAAAATGTAACTTCTGGGTTAGGGATTGACATCTTTAAAATCTAAGACAATGGAAGCACCAGTTTAGGAGGCTAGTGGACAAAATTAATACAAAGTCAATTCAAAAAATGGACAGTGCTTATTAAGATCACAGTTGGAAGTGGGAAATCATTAAAAAAAGGTGATCCTCTCTTGGCATCGTAAAGGAGCCAGTGGGGCTGATAAGACTTTGACTGCATCCATTAGAAGTTTAAATAATTCTTTCATACATGTGGTTTACTTGGGGTTTTATCTGCACATTTTCTTACAAAACAGATAGGCATTTACAAAAGGGAAGCAGTTTTGAGATAAGTAGAGAAAGAAATCTGTCAGCAGCTGTAGCCCAGAAGGAAAAGTTGTCAAAACCTAAGAATGTTGTCTGATTTTGGAGTTACTGAGCAAGAGTCCAGTGAATCCTATATCTGATCTATAGTGTCCATGACTTTAAAGTGCTTAACAAAAGTTGGACAACTGCCTAATGCAGAGAATGCATCTCTTTATTGGCTTTACTTTTCATTTGGGACTGGAATGAGAAAAGGATTGTTTTAAAACCAATGACTGAGGAAGGATAGCTACACTTGTAAAAAACTGCTGGAATTCATTTTGAGCTACATTTACATTGTTGTTTTGCATGTAGTGGTGGAGGAGAGATAAGACAGCACAGCATTAGGGTGAGAATTGTGGGTGTCAGAGGTCATCAGTTTGACATCCACTCACTGATTGGTGCTTGGGCAGCAAAAGACCTTATTTCAACAGCTTTTTGTGAATCACTTTAATAATGTTCCCTTAGGTTATTGACCTTTTACTCAATGGAAAGAGAATCTCTACCTAAACCTTTTACAGTTTTAAACACATCTGTTACACCTCCCTGGAGTAACATGCTGGAAATCAAGCCAATGATTCAACCTTTAATCTTGAGAATATTTTAAACCTGAAACAGTGCCTAGGCCATATCTTGTTTTTCTTTAGTAAGGACAGAACATATGTTCGTATCTCTGCTTCATTCTTCTATTTATCATAAGATTCAGCTTCACAGAACATTGATGGGAAATTTTAACTTCACAGTTAGTTTCAGCCATTCCTCTCTATAGTAACTCCAGTTACAATTTTCTGTCTGAAAAGAACTCATAGTTTCTGATCCTGAGCTTTAGACAATTACTAAATTTGCTACCAATGTTAATTCAGATTCAAACCATTTGCTAAGTCAGAAAGCAAA